AGCATGCCATCGACCTGTTTAAAATCTGGTACAAAACACTGCGCTTAAACCGAGCAAGCCCAAGCATAGATATGAGTAAATTAAACTTACAACTGTGCTTAGACTCGTCTGACAAGCCGGTCAAGACGAACCCAACGAAGAAACATAGGAGTAGTGTAAGATTAGAAACTAATAATAGCAGCGATTACAGCACAAATTGTTTGTTTTGACCAATCAAATCATGTTTTTATATCGTCGCAGAATTCATCGTACGTTATCACAAGTCAATTGATTACAATTTTTTTTTAGTATTTTAAATTAGTAACCCAGTCACTGGATATGTGGTCAAAGAAGCTCTAAAAATTTAGTCATAACTCACGTTTCGAAGGCTGGGAACTTCGTCTGTAAGCACATTTACTGCACCTTTTTCGCAGTCGCAGAACTTGCCCTGGCGGAGCTGCAACAGCAACTCCATCGAAGTACAACTCGAAGCAATGATAGCAAGAATAAATATTAAGATCACGGATCGTGCTCTGGAGGAAACGAAGGACTTTCATAAGTTTGTCCTCTGAGTCTGGATTGTTAACAAGCATACAGATAACCCTGCGAACTGCGTTCATCTTCTGTTGAGTGTTTTCCTCGTGGGCAAGCTGTTTTGTATTCTCTTCAATGCCATTCTCAGGCTCGTGGGACTCACCAGACGACGTCTGAATGAACAAAACGTCCGATGACTCGTCCAATAAGGCGTCCGTCGCGATTGTCTCTATTTCTGTATCCTGCTCGCTCGGGTTGCAAACGGATTCCTTGATGTCCATCGGATGACGAGCTCGCAATCGCTGTTCAGTGACCTTGATCGTCGTACATCTCGGTCATCGTCCAGGACGTTGAGGTAGCGATCGCTTTCTTTGAGAATTGCCGATATGGTTCCTTGCACAGGATGTTTATCCAGAGCAAATCCACGCTCTGCCCTTTCAGCTAGCTGTAGTTAAGTTATACCCGGGAAGACTCGTTTGCACCACGTGCAAATTTATTTTTTGTGCTCCTGTGTCAGGTTCCCGACGTGTTTTGCCTTCCTTTGCCTTTCCAAAACTCTGAAGGCAACCTTCAACACCCCGGAGACGAGCTATTTATGTAACTGGAGCCCATGACTCGAAATGTTAGTGCCTCTGGTTCTTACCATCCTCCACTATCTGATATTATTGCTATATCTGATGGTGACCTTGGCAACGGCGATTATACAGGGTTTACTGTACATATAACAGACGTACAAACTCTACTTAATAGTGAGGGTGACGCATTTGTTTAGGTTGTTCACCTAACTTAGGAATCGATATTTAGGGCCATCTTTTAATAAGTGTTCTCACGTAGTATTTGTAGAATCATTCTCATCTAAACGGAGCCACTTTATTGGTCGAATAGTCATTCTTGTAGAATGAAAAATCGCTATCATCTCGCAAGGTACGTAATGGGAAGGTCACTGCAAAATGGATTTGATTGGTGATTCACCCGCAACTAGCACGTAAATATCCTCATGATTGGCTAAATATCTATTGTGAACTATGGTAAGTAAGAACCCTTATTGTATAACTGGATATTTGTATC